GTTTTCTTAGTTCTAAATGGAAATATATATCACTCATGTTTAATTAGTGCTGATTGTGTGCTAGGCATTTTACATGCATGATCTCATTAAATTCCCAGGACAGGTGGGACATGAAGTGGGACATCAAGGCTGAGCAGGAGTTGGCTCTCAGCAGAGGGAATATGAAAGAGCAACCTGGGGAGCTTAAGTATAAAGGTAAGGGTGGACATGGTGTGCTCCTCGGGAAGAGGGAGGAGTCAAGAGATCAGGGCCAAGAATGATAGGAGGTAGAGTCTGGAAGGCAAGTAGAGAATTATCGAATTCCTGGGTTCCGTGAACAAGACATGGCAGCTTAGAAAGTGTCTGAGTGTAGACCCCCCAACATGGGCACCAGCCCCCAGCAAAGATGCCGCCTGATTGGAGCCATGTATGCCTTCAATTCCCAGTCTTTGGAGCCTTCAGGTTTCCGGCAGTTGCATTGTCTGACAATATAGCCTTAAGCCACATTTGGCTCTTTAAATTTAAATCAATCCAAGTTAAATAAAACTTAAAATTTAGTTCCTCCATGACGATAACCTCATTTCAAATGCTCAATTGCCACATGTGTCTAGCGGCTATAATATGCGATAGTGCAGATATGAGACATTTCCATCATCGCAGGAAGTTCTACTAGACAGGGATGGCACAGAGGAATAGCCACTGTTCTACACAGAGCTAGAAGTTTCTTTCTCTATTTCTTTCTGATCCTCCATAAGCAGTAAGAGTGATAGCAGGTGCCACACTGCTAAGTATCATAAGCTTGACCTCCTTTAATCATTGCAGATATTACTGACACTATTTAACAGATGAGTAAACTGAGTCTGAGACAGGTGAAGTGTCCAGAGTTGCATAGTTTATAACCAGCAAAGCCAGCACTTGAACCCAGTTCCTCCCAATCCACAGCCACATCCTTAACCAGCATGCTACACTGCTCCTGCAACCCCAGCAAACAGGTGGATCCAGGTTGAACAGATTTGTGGCAATAAGCCAGATATTTCCTTCAGACCTGGTTATCACTGACAGATTGTGGGTTGAGAATTGAACTAAATCTGCTTCTGATTTTGCTTCTGGGTGAAGGGAAGCAAAATAGTTCAACCTGGATGTTTCTCATGATCCCATATTAAAAATATCCTTCCTGGGTGGATCACTCGAGGCCAGGAGTTCAAGACCAGCCTGGCCAACATGATGAAACCCTGTCTCTACTAAAAATAAAAATAAAAAAATTTTAATTAGCTGGGCATGGTGGTGCGCACCTATAATCCCAGCTACTCGGGAGGCTGAAATAGGAGAATCACCTGAATCTGGGAAACAGAGGTTACAGTGAGCTGAGATCACGCCACTGCACTCCAACCTGGGCAACAAGCAAGACTCCATCTAAAAAAATAATAATAATAAAAATGTATATGCCCATCACACAGGACTCCAAAATTAAGTTTTTGTTGGCAAAACACTTCGACTACATTATTTAAACAAAGTTCTTAATGGATTTAAAAAAAAAAAGAATGATGGTAAAAGAAACTCCCTCTGCAAATTCGCATAAGACGACCCATGTGATCATTTCCAAATTGCCTGGGTAATTTTACCTTCTAATTTTTGTAAATTGGCTTCACTCCGCAGGAGATGTTGGGTTACTTGCTCTGTAGCCTCTGGCTTACAGTGAGCATCCTAACCAGTTTTTCCTATCTCTGTTTTAAAAAAGGAAGGATCTCCTGTAATCCCAGCACTTTGGGAGGCCAAGGCAGGCGGATCACCTGAGGTCAGGGGTTCGAGACCAGCCTGGCCAACGTGGTGAAACCCAATCTCTACTAAAAAAACAAAAATTAGCTGGGCGTGGTGGTGTGTGCCTGTAATCCCAGCTATGTAGGAGGCTGAGGCAGGAGAATCACTTGAACCTGGGAGGTAGAGGTTGCAATGAGCTGAGATCACGCCACTGCACTCTAGCCTGGGCAACAGAGTGAGATAAAATAAATAAAATTAAAAAGGCAGGATCTTGGCAGCTCATCAGTCACACCTAGTTTCAAATCCCAGCTGTACTATATGCTGATGATGGGGCCTTGGGAAACTTACATACCCCTCTGGGTTCAGTTTTTTCATGTGTGAAATGGGGACTTTTAATGTCTGTTGAAATTAAATGAAATAACTTCTGTGCAAGTACCCAGAATGTTATAGAGGCTCCAAATACATTAACCTCCTCCCTTCTCTGCTGAATCCTCACTTATGGTCATGTGATATCGGATCAGTAGTTTCAGAGCTGAAAGGGAGCTGAGTGACATTTAGAGCAGCACTCTCAACAGACGATACTTCTGTTTATGATCATGTAGGTAACCGTTAACTTGGGAAATGCCTGTAATCAAGAGCCACTCTGGGTATGTTTTGGTGACATTTTGAAGAGGGTGAAACAGAATGTTCTCTCTGACGAATTGCAAACCTCTCCAGGCAGAAGAGCGGAAGTGGCTTTGACGTGGGCCACAGGGACAACGTGAAACACTGCAGGCAGGGTATCTGGGTGACCCAGAGGGAGCTGCTGGAGGGGTCACTGGGGGTCTCGCTCTCAGAGCTTGGACCGTGGCTTCTGGTTCATCCAAGATGACTGTCATTGTACCAGATTGGGGGATGGAGGAGTCCCCAAAGCTAGGAACATAGAACAGAAGGCAAGACAATGGCCAGTCTTAATGCCTGGGACCCAAACCAAGATGAGCCACAGGGCAAGCTGCATTGCCCAGTTAGAGGCAGACAGAGGCCATGGTCAGAGTCAAATTGGATAGGAGAGCCAAAAGGAGAAAGGCTGTTGGGAAGTAGGAGGGCAGTACTTAGAGAGTAGAAGGACTCAGAGAGTAGGACAGGTCTGATGAGGCCATCTGGATTTTGGTGCCAACTCCTATCTCCATCTCAGAGGGTGGCCAGCCTGTGGAACCTAGCTGAGATCACCTCATCCTGAGCCTGTTAGAGTTCAGGGACAGGAAGCCAGGAAAACTTAGTGAGTCAGAAGTCAGATTCTGGCCAGGCATGGTGGCTCATACCTGTAATCCCAGCACTTTGGGAGGCCAAGGCAAGAGGATCACTTGAGTTTGGGAGTTTGAGACCAGCCTGCACAGCACAGTGAGACCCTGTCTCTACAAAAAAATTTACAACATTGCCAGGTAGGGTGATGCGCGCCTGTAGTCCCAGCTACTGGAGAGGCAGAGGTGGGAGGATCGCTCGAGCCTAGGAGGTCAAGGCTGCAGTGAGCTAGGATTGCACCACTGCACTCCAGCCTGGGCAAAAGAGCAAGACTGTCTCCAAAAAAAGTCAGGCTCTAGCATCCAGAACAAGCCTGGGTTTGAATCCACCATCACTAGCTGTGTGACTTAGGCTAGTGACTTAACCACTCTGAACTATAGTTTCCTCATGTGATGATTGTGAGGATGATGCTGGTGGTCTTGAAGATGCTGGTGTGGTCATGATGCTGAGGAGGAGGAAGAGGATGGTGATAATGGTGATGCTGCTAATGAAGGTGATGGATCATGAAGATGAGGATATGATGAGGTTGATAATGATAATGATGAGGGTGATTATGGTGATGAGGATGGTGATGGTGATTATGGTGGAGGCTGATGAGGCAAGTTAGATGATGATGATTACAATAATGATGATGGTAACAATGAGAATGATGGTGGCTATGGTGATGACTGTGGTAGTGGTGGTGATAAAGATGATGGTGACGGTGGTGGTGATGATGATGATGACAGTGACAACCCCTACTTTAGAATGGATGTGATGAGTGGGCTGGAATACTAGCCTTTGTTACTGTGTGACCTTGAGCTACTTAGCTTCTCTCTGTCTCCCTTACCCCATCCATAAAATACTGATTAACAATCATTCCTGACAGGCTTAGTGGCTCACGCCTGTAATCCCAGCACTTTGGGAAGCTGGGGTGGGAGGACCACTTGAACCAAGGAGTTCGAGACCAGCCTGGGCAACATAGTGAGACCCCATCTCTACAAAAAATTTAAAAAGTTAGCCAGATAATGGTGGTACACCCTTGTAGTCCCAGCTACTTAGAAGGCTGAGGCAGGAGGATCACTTGAATCCAGGAGATCAAGGCTACAGTGAGCTGTGATTGTGCCACTGTATTCCAGCTGGGATGACAGGACAAGGCTGGGAAAAAACAAAAACAACAGTCACTCCTGTCTCAAAGGGTTGTCACGAGAGTTAAATGCACTAAAACACATGGCCAGGCATGGTGGCTCACACTTGTAATCCCAGCACTTTGGGAGGCTGAGGCAGGGGCACTGCTTGAGCCCAGGAGTTAGAGATCAACCTGGCCAACACAGGGAGAACCCATGTCTAATATAAATAAAATAATAATTTTTAAAAACCCACATGTAAAGTGCTTGGCACATAGTAAGTGCTTAATAAATGCTATCTCTCCTTATTAATAGTATTATTATTTTTGTCATTATGTTCCCTTTATTTTCCAAATCATTCTGTTTGTCCTGAGCTGCTATTGTTCAAAGCCAAAAGTCTTAGGGTCAGAATAACTTGTTACCCAAAGCCCACAGGACCTCTCTATCCTTCCTGCCTCCTATTTTTTCCACTGGTAGGTGTCATGAGCATTAAGTTGTCCAGGGGTTCATGGTACATGGACTATTACTAGGAAACAGACCTCTTGTGTTCCCAGATCCATGGAATGAGGAAGGGAGAGGGACAGGCAAAATCCTTCTCCTTGCCATCCTGAAATGATGTCCACAAAGATAGGGATATGCCAGCTGTCAAAGTCCCCTTGGATGCGCTCCCTTTGTGATTGACACCCGGAACTGCCTTCCCACGTGTCACTGTCGATCTTTATAAAGCAGCGGGCTGGGTACCCAAAGCTTGCTGGCTCATCACGAGTTATGTGAGTGAGCCACTGAGGTTCTGTACAGACTCAGGACTTCCAGATCAAAGCAACTAGCAGTCCCTCCTGATGTCCCCTTCCTCACCTGCCCCACCTTGCCTTTCAGAGATTTGGACGGCAAATCACACAAACCTCTGCCCCTCGGTGTGGAGAACGACCGAGTCTTCAATGACCTATGGGGGAAGGGCAATGTGCCTGTCGTCCTCAACAACCCATATTCAGAGAAGGAGCAGGTAAGTGCTTGATGCCAAGCTGGTACCACTGCTTCCCATGCCTTCTCGACCCCTCCCAGGTGGGAAGCTGAGGGGAGGAAAGCTAAACCCTAAACTGTGTTGTGATGAAATCAGCCGCCGTGGCTGGACAACTTGGGATGCCAAGGCCAGGAGTGCTTATCCTCGGATGTGGACCTCGACTTTGTTTCTGTGTGGTTTGGTATTGTTTGTGAGCTTGCCATTTTTCACATTTTAATTCTGTTTCTACCGGGAAAGGCATTCACATGGCTCCAAATTTAAAAGATATGAAAGATACATGGTAGCTGGTCACAGTGCCTCATGCCTGTAACCCCAGCATTTTGGGAGGTCAAGGCAGAGGACAGCTTGAGGTTCAGAGTTCAAGACCAGCCTGACCAACATGGTGAAACCCCATCTCTACTAAAAATACAAAAATTAGCCTGGCATGGTGGCGGGCACCTGTAGTCCCAGCTACTCAGGAGGCTGAGGTAGGAGAATGGCATGAACCCGGGAGGGGGAACTTGCAGTGAGCCGAGATCGCGCCACTGCACTCCAGCCTGGGTGACAGCGAGACTCCATCTCAAAAAAAAAGAAAGAAAGAAAAAAGACAACCAGCCTGGGCCACATAGCAAGACCCTATCTCAATTTAAAAAAAAAAAAAATTTTCTTAATTAGCAGAGCATAATGGCATATACCTATAGTTCCTAGCTACTCAGGCAACTGAGGCAGGAGGATCACTTGAGGACAGGAGTTCAAGGCTGCAGTGAGCTGTGATACAGCACCTCTGCACTCTAGCCTGAGTGACAGAGTGAGACCCTGTCTCTTAAAAAAAATTGAAATAAATAAGCAAAAAGATACGTAATGAAAAGCTGTATATGTCCCTAATTCTAGTCACATAGTTTTCCTCCCCAGAGTCAAGCAATGTTAATGGTTTTTGTGTGTTCTTTTAGCCGTGTTTTATGCATTGACAAACACACACATCATTTTTGAATATTTTTACACAAATAAGAGCACATTACACATGTTGTTTTATACCTTGCTTTTTCACTTATTAACATATCTTAGAGATTAGTCCCCATTAGTAGGTAAAGAGGATCTTGTTTCCTTTTTTACAGCCATATAATATTCCGTTGTGTGATCATCCTGTAATTCTGTCAGTCCTTCATAATGAGCCATTGTCAATATTTTGCTATGACAGTGCTATAATGAGTGACCTTGTGGACATACCTTATTTGGCACATGGATAGGCTTAGCAATAGAATACATTCCTAAAGGCCAGGCCTGGTGGCTCATGCCTATAATCCAACACTTTGGAAGGCAGGAGGATCACTTGAGCCCAAGAGTTTGAGATCAGCCTGAGCAACATGACAAAACCCTATCTCTAAAAAAAAAACAAAAATGAGCTGGGCATGATGGCACATGCCTGTTGTCCCAGCTACCCTGGAGACTAAGCTAGGAGAATCACCCGAGCCTGGAAGGCCAAGGCTGCAGTGAGCTGTGATTGTATTACTGCACCACTGCGCTCTAGCCTGGGCAACAGAGGGAGACCCTGTCTCAAAAAAAAAAAAACAAAATGGAATAAGTTCCTAGAAGTGGAATTGTTGGGTCAAAATTCATGCACATTTGTGATTTTGGTGGTACTTGCCATAGTGGTTGGATCAATCTTACCAGCTAACTAGGAGAGTGACTGTTTCCTCACAGCCTCGCCAACTCCATCTGTTATCCAACTTTTTAGTCTTTGCCAATCTGTTCAGATGTGTTTTGACAGCTAAGTCAGTATCATTTACAAAGAGTGACTAGATTTGGCTGGAGATCAGCAGCGCCTTTGTCTCACCTGTCCAGTAAGCTGATGGGCCAGGTCAGGGTAACCCTAAGGAAGCGTGTGAATTTCACACCCATCCTCTGCATTGCAGTGAAGTCGGGGTGGAGTGACCAGTGGGAGGTCGGAATATGGGGGTGGCCTAGGTGACTCAGCAAGTGATGACCTGCTTCATTTTCCTGATGCTTGGCCTACAGATGGCAGCTTTCACTGCCAGCACATCTAAACAAGGCCTCAGAGCCTCTCTACATAGCTTCAGCGGGGAGGATGAGACATTCTAGAGCCTTGGTGGCAATTGCTTTCCTTAGCCACTGATGGCTGGCCAGGAAGAAAAGGACATCAGGGTTTCTGTAGTGGGTGAGACCCATGATCCCACTAGCTGAATGTCCCTCTAGCAGTGATATCTGGAAACGTTTGGTGGAAAAGCACAACTGTAGACTTTTATTATGTTGTCTTCAAAAGTCAAGACCACACCATAAGCTTTAGGAAGCTATTCTCCATTCGTGATTAAATGAACAAATATGGTTTAAAGCTCTTTTATATTTTCTTTCTTTATTGAAAACAAAGAGGTATGGCTATCATATGAGCCCTCACAAGACAAAGAAAGACAGTAAGAGGCGGCCTCGGGCCAGATCTAGCCTGCAGACCTGATTTGTTAGGTCTACACCATATTGTATTAAGAGATAATTTATAGTCATATTTTAAATGTACTGCCGATGTTTCAGATTTTTACATAAATATATCTACAGCTTCTCTTTAAAATTTACATAGTCTAAGGCCAGGTGCGGTGGCTCACACCTATAATCCCAGCACTTTGGGAGGCCGAGTGGGACAAATCACGAAGTCAGGAGTTCAAGACCAGCCTGACCAACATGGTGAAACCCCATCTCTACTAAAAATACAAAAATTAGCTGGGCATGGTGGCAGGTGCCTGTAATTCCAACTACTCAGGAGGCTGAGGCAGGAGAATCGCTTGAACCCAAGAGGCGGAGGTTACAATCAGCCAAGATCACGCTACTGCACTCTAGCCTGGGTGATGGAGCGAAACTCTGTCTAAAAAAAAAAAAAAAAAATTTACATAATCTGACCACATTGTGCCTATACTCTTTTTTTTTAAAGACAGTGTCTTGCTCTGTCTCCCAGGCTGAGGTGTAGTGGCACCATCTTAGGTTACTCACTACTACCTCAATCTCTTAGACTTAAGAGATCCTCCTACCTCAGCCTCCCAAGTAACTAGGACTACAGGCTGGTGCCACCAGACCTGGCTAATTTTTTAGATTTTTTGTAGAGACAGGATCTCACTATGTTGCCCAGGCTGGTCTCGAACTCCTAGTTCAAGCAGTCCTCCCTTCTCAGCCTCTTAAAGTGCTGGGATTATAGCTGTGAGTCGCTGCAGCCAACCATATTCTTATGGGGCAACAATCTGCATAGACTGAATAGCAGCTGCCCCCTCTAGACAGAGTGCAGCTTTCTATTTGACCACAAACCTCACCACTCCCTATTGTCTCCCTCTTATTAAGGCCAGTGTCCATTGTCATTTATAGTAGCATTAGTGCTTTTGATTTCTTATAATAGAAGGAAAGGTAAATCTTTTCATATCCATGTTGTTATTATTATTATTATTATTATTATTATTATTATTTATTGTGAGACAGTCTCTGGTGCTATCTCTGCTCACTGCAACCTCTGCCTCCTGGGTTCAAGCAGTCCTTCCCGCTCAGCCTCCCAAGTAACTGGAATTACAAGCGTGTGCCACCACAGTCGGGTAATTTTTACATTTTTTGGAGATGGGGTTTCACCATCTTGGCCAGGCTGGTCTCAAACTCCTGGCCTCAGGTGATCCACCTGCCCTGGCCTCCCAAAGTGCCGGGATTACAGGTATGAGCCACTGCACCTGGGCCCTTGTCATTTTTATAAGTGGTAGGTAGAGATGGACCAAAATGTTCATGTTTTAAGAAAGATTTTTTTGGCTGGGTACAGTGGCTCACACCTGTAACCCCAGCACTCTTAAGAGGCCAAGGCAGGAGGATCACTTGAGCCTAGGAATTTAAGACCAGCCTGGGCAACATGGCAAAACCCCGTCTCTACAAAAAAGTATAAACTATTAACTGGGCATGGTGGCATGCACCTGTAGTCCCAGCTACTTGGGAGGTTGAGGCGGGAGTATCGCTTGAGCCAGGGAAGTTGAGGCTACAGTGAGCCGTGATAGTGCCACTGTACTCCAGCCTGGGTGACAGAGCAAGAACTTGTCTCCAAAAAAAACAAAAAACAAAAAAAACCCTAAAAACATTCTTCATTTTTACACACACAAGTCTTTCTTTTTTAGTATGCGACTAAGTGTCCTGTTTTGAAGTTACCCAGCCTTCTTTACTGATTTAGCTTACCCACCTACCACCTCTAGGTATCAGTTTGTAATTCCTGGTGTGCAGTAACCCTTGAGATCTCGATTCGAAGGAAGAAACAGGGGAGGCCTCGACCCTGCGAGAAAGACACTAAAAGTCAATGCAGAAATCTGAGCAATGGCAGACTCTGGTCATTTCCTTGCACGCTGCCCACCTTAGACAATGCCAACTTGAAAGCATAACTTTGGTCTTCAAGTCTGAGGAGTTGAGCTCAACATTGAGAACAGGGCCTCAGGGTTTTGAAGATCAGATAAGCGTTTGCCTAAAACAAAATGGAAAAAGGCATTATAGTAAAAGGAATTCAGGGCCCCGCCTGTAATCCCAGCACTTTGGGAGGCCGAGGTGGGAAGATTCCCTGAGGTCAGGAGTTTGAGACCAGCCTGGCCGACAAGGCAAAACTCCGTCTCTACTAAAAATACAAAAATTAGCCGGGCACGATGGTAGGCACCTGTAATCCCAGCTACTTGGGAGGCTGAGGTGGGAGAACTGCTTGAACCTGGGAGGTGGAGGCTACAGTGAGCTGAGATCGCACCACTGCACTCCAGCCTGGGCGACATGGCGAGACTCCATCTGAAAAAAAAAAAAAGAAATGGTTGTAGCGGATAATATTGCTTCTTTTTTTCTTGCTAAGGATCATTATTAGTTCTCTGAGGTTGTCTTTGGTGCCAACAATAACTGAGACACATGCTGAGTTTTGACATCATCCTAAAGCCTCTTATCGTAATAAGCATCTTAAGTGAAAAGCTACCCTAGATAAATAGAGTGAGGACCTACCTGCTGTT